GAGCCCGGCGGCCCCCAGGCTGAGGCCGGCTCCGTGCCCTGCAGGGACACAGACGCGCGGTTAGCAACGGGTCTCCCTGCCCGCCGCTCCCCCGGCTCGCGCTTCCCCGCAGAGGCGGGGAAGGCCCAGTGTGCGGGCTCTGGCCGCGGGTGGGCTCCCGCGGGGTCGTGGTTCCAATTCTCAAAAGGCGGTTCTGAAATCTGGGACGATTCTCAGGCCTTAGATCTGCGTATGCAAATAAGAGCAATGCTATCTACGGCTTTTCTCCCAGGGAAAGCTAACACTAGACTAGAATTACCTATTAAATAACATGGGGCGTGGGGTGGGAGTAGAAGGCTATTCCAAAGCTGAAGCCTTTGCTCTGTGTGCAAGAATACAGCCCTTTTATTATGTGAACACTTGGATCCTAACATCTCCTCTTCTTTCTCTCTGTCTCTCTCTCTGCCTTTGTCTCTCTCTCTCTCTCTCTCTCTCTCTCTCTGTGTGTGTGTGTGTGTGTGTGTGTCTCTCTCATATAAGTGAAAAAGACAAGTCACGACAATCTCAAAAGCTATATTGTCTATCAGACTTGAGACCTTGCCTCAAAAGAAAAAGAGCTGGGCTGTAGCTCAGTGGGAAAGCAGAGTTCAAGGCCCAGAACAGAAAAAACCAACCAAACTGATCTAAATTAGGCGCTTACACCCTACTGCTTGTTATTCTTCCAGGCTCTTATCTTAGAATCAAGCCTAAGAGTGTTTTCTACTGTGTATCCCAACTAGGGCCCCATAATGATTTCAGAAATCTCCATCGTTGATGGTACTTCATTAAAACGAAACTGCATCAATTAATGTCTCTTGTCCCTTTATTGTTTTCTTATTTAAAAACTGAGTCACTTAAATAAAATCAATCGGCCAAAAGCTTGTTTAAAAATACACTGGAGGCTGCCTTATACTAATGGAATTGAAACCAATGGAAGGTGATTAACAAAGTGAAAACTGAACTTCCTGGAATAAAAGTACACCTTTCCTAGTTATCAAGATTCCCACTCCCATAGTCACTGCATTCTTCACTGCTGTGAACTTCTTAAAAGTGGTAAATAAGCACAGAAGTAGAACATTTCACAGCTGTGAGGATCTGGGCAGAAATAGTTATTCCCATCCAGAAGATAAGGAAATAGAAACAAGAGACATGCATAGATGCAGTTGATTCCTCACAGAGCTAATCTTGCATCCTGGTCTCCTCATTTGGGGGTCTTCCTTTTACCTGCAGGATTTCATGGTCCAACTCGCCAGTGAAATGGAAAAAAAAGTCATCCCAAATATATAAGGGACCAGGACCACAGCCTCAGTTTTACAGACCCAGCGGGTATTTTTCAGACAGTAACCCTCTAGGCTCCCCACTTACCATTCTCTTCTGGCTGCCTTCGGGAAAGAAAAACCAGAGGCTGTTTCTGGATGAGCATGTTTTATAGTCACAGAGAACCAATGGCTGTCCTGGGAAAGCCTGGTCTCATTCTGAGAACTTGCCATTTCCGCCCCTGACCCCTGCTGGCTTCATCCAGAAGGATGTGACCTGGTGGAAAATGACCTGCCAGCACAGCACATCCCGTACTTAGGAAATGAACATTGTGTGTTTTGTGTGTTCGCTTTCCCCTCATTGCAGGAAGAGAACCAACCACAAGCCCTTCCCCAACTTGAAACAAATGTCATCATCCTCCCAGGGGGGATACCCTGCCTTTCCTCTCCTGAGAATAGCTAGTGACGCCATCCAAGAGCTCTCACCCACGAGCTCTTACCCACACCCCGCGCTGACCAATTATAGTGTTTCTTGAGACACCATCGTTACAAAATCATTTCCAGAAAGAAATGGGAGGGGGCAGAAAACGCTCTTATATCTAATACAGCCACTCATAGCACTTGCTAGTATTTCAAAAAGCATTGTGAACCTATAAGTAGTGAAACGTGGTCCATTCACTGAGTGTGTAGCCAGCACCATGGAGCCCTAAGAAAGCAAGGCCACACCCACGGGAAGTGCTGCGCGCAGTTCTGGGCATATCCAGCTGTGAAGAAGAGATGGGAGGTCTCAGGAAGGGCACAATGAGGCCAAATGCGTCAGAAAAATCAGTGGGGTCAGGCTGCGCAAGGAGCTAATAATACGCTTCTCACTGCAGCAGGGATATGGCTTCCTGAGTTTTCATTTGAAGCCGTAGCTATAGCTGATGTGCTAGTGAAATGCATGGATTCCACCCACAGGTCAGTGAGGTGTAGGCTGAAAGGCAATTATCTGAGTAATTCAGGAGGGGAAAATGAGTGCAGCATCTGTGCAACTGAATAGATCACGTGCAGGATGGTTATCTCTGGGATATTCAGAAGTGGTTGGCACCCTGCCTGGAAGGTGACACATACGGGACCCCAAAATAGATGACCCTTCCTCTAATAATGTCACCTCCAAATTAGGAAGGTCAAACTTGTATTTTGCTGAAATGATTATTATCTCAACTGCCTGGGTCATTTGGAAAGTCTTACCAGTTATATCATCTGTAACATGATTAAATCAGTCACCTTTGTAGCTATAATTTGTACTTATCAACACAACACCACTACTCACAGCCATGGTTGCATCAAACTGGATTGTTCTGAATTTTGTCCCCATCCAAATAGACTTATTGGAGCTCCTCAAAGGAGAAATATACCTTCAGTCAAGTTGCCTCCAGTATCCATCTGTATTTTGGAAGTAAAAAGGGAAAGACCATAGTGCCACCTGCAGCCATGGCACAGGCCAGGATCCACGCCCAGGCCAGCGAGGGCCCCTTCTGCCACTCGTTGTCCATGGCCGACCGCTCAGGCCGCCTGCTGGAGAGCCTGGACCAGCTGGAGCCGCAGGTTGAAGCTTTGGGAGAAGCAGCAACTGCTGTTGAGCAGAAGGAAGTCCTCTTGGAGATGATCCACAGCATCCATAACAGCCAGAACATGAGGTAGATCAATGACGGAGGACAGGGCCAGTTAAACCTGACTGCAAACCGTTTGATGGGACGAACCCTCACCGTTGAAGTTTCGGTAGAAACAATTAGAAGCCCGTAGCAGGAAGAGTCCCTAAAACACGCCACGCGGATCATTGATGACATGGTCAGTAAGTGCCTGGATGACCTGGCCAGTGCCAAGTGTCACTTAATGTCGCTGTACAGTGCGTGTTCCTCTGAGGTTCCCCCGGGGCCCGTGGATCAGAATTTTCAGTCTATAGTGATTGGCTATGCTCTTGAGGATCAGAAGAAAATCAAGAGAAGAGTAGAGACCCTACTTAGAAACATTGAGAACTTGGACAAGGCCATCAAACTGCTAGAGCATTCGAAAGGAGTCAGTTCCAAAGCTCTGCAAGCAAATGATGAGAATAGGCTGAATTACTCTTCAAACCTGCAGGCACGTGGGTCATAGAAAGATGATACGATGCTAGCAATACTCCTTTGTGTTAGGTATCACCACTCGATAGGTTATTGCAGATGGGAAAACTATTGCAGTACCAAGGTTTTCCAACTCAATTAAAACTGGGATTTTAATTATCTAGACTTCTTAGACTGAATTCTTGTCTCACACTGGGATCTAGCACTATGTATGTTACTGTTTGTAGATAAGCACATTATGTGAGGGAAGGCAAGGCTCAGGTGGGGATGGTGTCATTGCTCTTTGCCGGACTGTGGCAAGGAGAGGGCTCCTGGGGCCTGGAGCTGGTAGGACACCCCACCTTCCACAGCACGCACAGGCCAAGCACACAGGGTGCCTACAGATTCGGAGACAACGGCAGGTCTTCCTGCACTCACTCACTCAGTGCTTTGCAGTGTCTATATCAGATTACTTTGAAGGTAAAGATGTACACATCTCTTAATATATTTTTATATACCTGGACACTAGGCATACAATGGGAGAAAGTCACCTTTAGTTTTACCAATGTGATTAATTACATACCCACTTTGCCTCTCAAATGCATTCTTCTAAAATTTCTATGCTGTAACTTGCCTTTTCTTCTTGGAATGGTGCCTGTCAGTTTAAAATCTCTATTTTATGTAGCTGTGCCATAATTACTGGTCCATTCCCCTCTTCTTGGACATTTGGGTTGTTTCCACCTTGTTGCTGATCCTACGGTATATTCGTGTACAGAGCTTTATCTTTGTATAAATTCCCACTTGAGGTGTACTGGGTTAAAGGGGATATGCATTTTCATGGCCTAACACCTATTTCTACATTTTTTGTATAAAAGTCGTATCAGTTTATGCTCTTCAGTAATTAAATGTAGCCTTTCCATTAAAAAAAAAAAAAGAAGGGAAAGAATATCCTCCTTAGTCCTCATAGATATAGTCACAGTGGAGTGTGGGCCAGGGTGAACTGGGGAAGAGTGGATTAGTCAGCCTTCTGTCACTATAACAAAATTCCTGAGATAATAAACTTCCAAAGAGAAAATCACAGCTTTGGAAGATCATAGACCATGATCAGTTGAGCCTGTGACAAGGCAGCACATCATAGCACAGGTGCCTGGTAAAGCAAAACTGCTCATCTCAATTTCAATAAGCAAACCACAGGGAAGAGGAGGGTGCCAGGGCCCTGTGATCTAAAGACCTCTTGCTGGGCCCAAGCTTCCGACACCTCCCAATAGCAAGCCATCAACACAGGGGCTTTGAGTGACATTTGATATCCAAACTGGAGAAGGAAAGGGGACAAGGAGGATCTGCATCCTGACTCTTCAGTTCCTACATGCTCCCCCAATGGCCCTGGGTATTGTCTTGTATATCTGGGGCTTAGATGAACACAATTAAATCTTTATTTCATGGGTGAGGAATTTTTCAGGGTCTTCTTCAGGGAATTTTTCAGGGTCTTCTTCAGCCTCAGCAATCAGAACGAAGATGAAAAAAATAGAAGGCAAAGGACAATGGACAGTGTGTCAACTCAGCTCTGCCTGTGTCCTGGAACTTATTTTCTTTGTGCTTAAAACACATTTTTTTTATATTTCTCCCTTTATAAAGGGGGGCGGAAATCTAACCTTTGGTAGCCTGGGCATAATGGTTGATTGATTGTGTCAACTTGAGACGTTTAGAAGCTTCACTAAGTCAGCTTAGCAAATCTACGTGCCTGGATGGTATAAAGGGGAAATGAGGAAGGACAGATCTGCCTCTGATCTTTGGAGAAGCTCCAGTCTTCGCTTTCAGCTCGGCCATCATCTCCTGGCTTCCAGCGCAGACTCTTCGGCTTCTGCCAGGGATCCTTCAACCTTCCGTCATAGACTACTCAGTCTTCCTTCGCAGACCCATCGGCCTCCTGATACAGATTTGCACGGACACTGCATTGAGCTCCAGACCTTGGACTGAAACCTTTGGTCTTCAGTGTGCAGACACCCTCTGCACGCTTCTTCATCCAACTCTGTGGCTGACCATTGTAAGCCAGTCTTGTAATTTGTCATACATTCGTGTATCTTGTGTTACATTTGTTTCTCTAGTAAAACCCTGACTGAGACACCTGGGTACTTGTAGTTTTACTTTGTAAAAACCTGACACTTTATATTATTAGTAAGAACTGACATTTGTTCTGAACACTTTCAATTGAGTGCTTGTTGGCTTTCATAAATCATAATAAGCAGACTCTCTAGCTTCCACCACTGACCTTTGGGCCTTCTCAGCACAGATTCATGAAACAGGCCTGCATGAGACATTGTGGTGGGCTGTAGGCCTCCAGTTGCACTTGTGGAGGGGCATTGTGATGGGCTCTAGGTCTTCAGCTAGCCTCATGCGGGATGTTGCCATGGGATCTAAGGCTTCAGCTGGATTCTTTGGGTCTCTAGGGTGTGGACAGATTTCCCACACTCTTTGGTATTTGACCCTAGGTGACTACTATAAAATAATCCTATAAATTATGTGTCCTATTTTAAATTGTTTCCCTTGCAAACCCTGACTACAACAATTTTATGAGAATTTATTATTAAATTACCATTGAATTGGACTATTCAACAGTACTTACTCTGCTGAAGATTTTAAGGTATCTCTATTGCATGGAATCTCAACTATTATCATCACATATTCATGGGACTGCACAGGAGAAAAAAGAGTCAGAGAACACTGAACTTGAGCCATTTTCCTTTCTCCAGATTGGCCTTGATCTTTGCTAATGTACACATCTGTCCTATTTTAGTATATGTGCTGCCGAAGTGAGCACTACACATCTATCCTTAAATACCAGTGTTTAAACACTAGTCTGAGTCCTTTTCTCCACTTCAGGTTCCTGCAGATACACAGTTCTCTGTTGACACAGTCCTCACCTCTGTCATTTTTAATAGCTACATAATAATCCCATTGTTTGCTTAGTCATTTCCCTCTTAAACACTTGGACCACTTCCAGTTTTTTCATTACTGTAACTAGAATCGCCGGGACATCTGTGTCCATTTTCACTCTTTGGGGTATTTCTTTTTTTTTTTTTTTTTTTTTTTTTTTTTTTTTTTTTTCTGGTATCAGGAATCGAACTCACGACCTTGCACTTGCCAGGCAGGTGCTGTGCTGCT